CATTATCACTGCAGTAGTTGAAGGGAGAAGGCAAAGGAGGAGGGATCAGGGTGCTAACGTAGTTGGGAGGGGCCACGCGGCTCGCTGCGAGTGATGACTCATCGGCTATTCACTCACCGGCATACAAAATTTTGTAGTTTAGGCAAGAACCTTGCAGCCTAAAACTGTTTCTTTGCACTTTTCAGTGTTAACTGTTTTAACTTTTGAATATAGCTAGGGCGAAGTTATATATGTCCTAAACACGAAATTACTTCAATTTTGCCGAGAGGGAGCAGAATCGCTCGCCGCGAGCCGCGTGGCCCCTCCCAACTACGTTAGCGCCGGGATCAGAGAAGGAAGGAAGGAAAAGAAGGAAGGAGGAAGAAAAAAGGAAAGAGGGGGAGGCTTCCCGGTTGACAAGTGCCCTGAGACGACGGTCTAAAAAACGATTCGGGAGACATTTTGGCGTTACTCGGTTACAGGCATCTGCCAACTGGGTCTTCCCTAGCTCATAGGGCCCTGAGGTATTTCCTCGTTGCATGTTCTCGTCGAGCATTTGAAGCGTGGAAAATAAGGAAGATCGAAATAGGAGATGGAAGGAAAAGAAAAAAAAGAGGGAGAACAGGAGGTATGCCTCCGGTTGACAGATATCCTGCAATGGGCACTTGCACTCAAGACACTCGACATCACGACAAAAACATTCGACATCTTTCAGCTACTTGAACCTCACCATCAGAGAACCAATTTCTTTTTGCTGAAACTTTCCCTATAGGAATATAACAATGTTTTCCGGCCAGGTGGCGTCCCCGCCTCTAATACAAAATTGGCTATTAAATTGCGTACTGCGATATTGACGTCCTGGCCACAAATACCATACTCACTCTCGGCGCTGATGCAACCTTGAACACTTGCGTTCCGCTGAGGCTGAAGAATATGGAGGGAGGGAATCACTCCTCTTACTAGGTGTAGCCTTAGCAGAACGCCAAATGACGTTGACACCACGAACGAATTTCGAATTAGGGACCAAAACAGTTAATAACCCATAGGCAAAGTTCCAGCAATTTTTCAAAGATTTTTTGAGATGGTACCAAATTTATAGCGAACTGTAAGGAGCGGTCGGAAGAAACGATCCACAGGATGAGGATATTTACTGCTGCCCAAGGATGAAGGGGTTCCGGTGTTTGGTGAGCCACTTCTGTCCCACCTAGCTGACTAAAGCTCCGAGATTAGCTTCAGGGTCTCTATAGGAACGCTGGATTATGTTCTCGCTGTCTGTTATCCTCCCATTGCATACTGTTACCACTTGCGTAGAAACTGCAAAACTACTATAACGCCGTAATGTACAAGAATTAATTGAAACCTCATATAAGGGTTGTTTGGTGAGATGGTCGTGAATAAAACAGTCATCACTGACATCAGCCCCATTTCGCGTCATAATGAGCAGTAGCAGATTGTGGTAGACGGAGCAGGAGCCGCGGCCAGGGCACGCCATCGCGTTGTGATCATTTCCTGAAAAATACGACCCCCCCCCTCTAATTCCATCCTCAATTTTCCTGGATTTCCCAACTTCCTACCCTTTTTCCATTTTTTCCCGAAAAATTTCCAGTTTTTCATTCAAGAATTTCCTGTCGAGCGGAGAGGGTGAAGGTCGTCATAATTCAACTATCGGAAATAGTAGTTGTATAGATCTTTGGCAGTCCCTCTCCCAACAACGACCAAATACGACCCCCTCCCTCGCGGTCAAATACGACCCCCCGTTGTGATCATCACAGCGATGAATGCCCTGCTCGCAACACACCCTGAGGATAGGATTAGGCGCCAGAAGTGAATGCCTTATTTGTGATCAGAGCACGCGATAGAGACAGTTCTAGGGTGGGGAGAGAAAGGCGGAGGGGGTGAGAAATAAAGCGGGGCATTTTCGTACGC